AAATTAAAAAAAAAAAAAGTAAACTGGTTCAGCTGGGGGTCGAACCCAGGACCTCTCGCGTGTGAGGCGAGCGTGATAACCACTACACTACTGAACCCGATGACGTTAGTGGGTCGTGTTAACGTCAGGAGACGAGGGCGAGGAAAAGTAGGTCGACCACGAGGTAGGTTAACGCCGATATTATAGAAGTTTTATTGAGAGTTTTACGGCACTTACAACACATTTAGGTCATAAGCCTGTGTGTAGGTTAGGTAGATATGTTATGTATGGCTTGTGGTTTGTGTGCGTGTCTGTATGTTTGTGTATGTAGTGTCTGCATGTTTGTATGTTTGCGTATGTCATCTATGTTTGTGTGTGTGTGTTTCTGTATGTTTGTTTGTTTGTGTGAGTTTATATGTTTGTGTGTGCCTGTTTGTTTGTTTGTGTGTGTGTGTGTGTGTGTGTGTCTGTTTGTTTGTGTGTGTGCGTGTGCTTTCGTGCGCAGAAACCACATGGGCGGAGGTTAGAAGTGTGTTATTCTTGGAGAAAAGTACCCCCAGAAAAAGGAAGAGAATTATATGCAGACACTGATTAGTGTTTGAAAGGGGGAAAAATATGGAATAATCCCCACCAGAGCACGCGCCAACCACCCACGTGCGCCTTTCTTCAAGCGTTGTGGAATGAGCAGACTGCACGACGGAACATCGCGGTGACATTAAAGATGGCTCCAGTAGGGAACGGGATAGAGGGTGCCCACGTCCCTCGTGACTCATTGGAGCAGAGGAAGATAGGACTAACGCTAACTTTACTTAAACGCAATCCCACATCATCACTCATCACCACTTTTATTTCTACAATCATCATTGCTGTCAGATCAATGACTTACATCTACAATCCTGGAATCTCTATCTGTAACAGTCACTTGTCATACTAAGTATACACGTAATACACTATTGGACACTATCAAACGCACTTTTTTCTGCTAATCAGATGGCATCAATCTCATGGAAATGGGCAAGGGATATAAAAAAGAGCAGACTGCGCGACATTGGTGAGCCAGAACCTGTGTAGATCTATAAAATAATCCATTAGTGTTCAGGCCAGTGTTGTGCTCACTGGAGTAACTTGGTCAAAGGGGAATAACCACGATATTTATGTCACCAAAGCCAGTGGGTCACGAGTTATGAACCTTTGGATAGAGATTCCGGAGCGACTTATTCTCTCCCCTTGTGTATTATATTGTTATTATTGTTGTTTTAGTCATGTTCATTGTAATCATTGTCACTGCTGTAGTTCTTATTGTTTCCTTTATTTTTAGCGATGTCATTATTTCTTCTTTGTATTATTACCATTATCATCATGATTATCATCTTAATTGATTTTGTTTCGATTATTACTATATTATATACTATTATTTTTTTAGGTATGTAAATTATTATTATTATTATTATTATTATTATTATTATTATTATTATTATTATTAT